TCTTGTTTTGAAGTTGTGTATCATTTTTATAATTTTTTGTGTTAGTTTGTTTTTGTTATTTTCTGTTTAAAATTTAAAAAAAAAGCAGTGCCCCTTTCTAAACATAACAGTAAGGACAATGCATGACATTGTCACATTTAGAGATAATATTTCCTATTTTAAGGGGCTGGGGATTTAGCTCAGCAGCAATGCACCTACCTGGCAAGCACAAGGTCATGAGTTTGATTCCTGGTACCAGAAGAAAAGCAAAAGACAAAAAACAAACAAAAAAATTTCCTATTTTATTTAGTACTGCATGCCAAGCTTAGAAATACTAATCCCCATTTTCATTTAATAGTACATATTCACATTTTCCCAGTTATATAAAATTTTTGAAATATTTGGCATCAGGATCTACTTAACATTACATGTATTTGGTTTTTTGTCTCTTGTCTCTTAATCTATAATACCCTGCTGAACCATTACTTTGGTAATTTTTGACTTTACAAAGTTTTTGCTAGAAGCAATTTTATTATTTTGTTGTTGTTGTTTTTTGAGTAGGGGCTCACTGTGGAGTTAAGGCTACCCTCAAACTTACCAGGCTGGCCTTAAACTCATGGTGGTCTTCCTGCACCAGCCTCCCAAGTGCTGAGATTACAGGTGTGCACCATCATGCCCCGCAGGAGTGACTTTAAATTGTATACACATAAGTGGGCATATAACACTGTTTCCCATCACCAGCCCATCTGATGCTCACCACTTTCCCTTCTGTTATTTTGAAGCAACTTTCAGACACTGTCTTCATGATTTCTGGAGTAACTTTAAAAGACATTTGTCATTTTCACACCTAAGAACAAATTATTTGATGCTGTCAAAATAATTTCTATGGAACCCACTTTTTGGGCCCCCTTCTGTCTCTCTTAGAAGTTATCTTTCCCTCAATAAATATTTCCTACTCTTAACCTCCTTTTTGCTTAGAATTCATTCTTCAATTTTGGGGAAGGCAAAATCCACCTCTGAAGAGAAGCATAGCCCTTCCCCCTTAAGTCTGTCTGTTTCCCTCCCTCTCCCTCTTCCTTCCCCCTCTCCCTCTGTCCCTCTCCCTCTCTCACTCTCCCTCCCTCCTTCCTCTTGCTCTCACTCTCTGCCACCTCTCCCCTGTCCCTCTTCCCCTCTCCCTCTCTATCTCCCTCTCCCCCTCCCTCCCCCCCTCTGAGCGTACTCCATTTCTTTCATTGTGCACCTTTTAATTTCTGCCTAATCCCTGGATGCCTCTTAAAACAATTATGTCCAGTTATTTCATCTATGTTCCAAATGCGTTTAAATTGAAAAAGAAAGGCTGCTTTGTTTGCTTGTTTGGAACCACATGAAAACTGGCAAACACTGCCAATTCTGAATGGAGTTCCCAGTTTTTAAATGTAGCATCTCTTCTCAAAATGATACACACAGAAGTTAATTCTGAAGAAATCATTTGATTGTGGTGCTTAAGAAATTGTAACATCTTGGTGAGATGAGAGTTTGGTGACTGCTGGGGCAGTGTCTTGGTTAAGATCTTTGGAAATAATGGAGCGGAAACTGGACTTCACCTTTGGAGTGAGAATCACACTGAGCAGCAGCATCCTATCAGAAGTAGGAGCTGGGGTCTGGCTGTGCTGCGCTGCGCTGCACTGCTGTTCTGGTGCTGAGAAGAGAAGGAGTGGTTTGGAGGAGGCTTCTCCCTGTCCTCTTCTCCACAGCTCCTTTCTTCTGCACCAGCATTGCCCCACCCTCAGCTGACTCCTCACTGAGACTGCAGAAATGCTGCTGAGTTGGTGGTCTGTTTTCTTGCAACTTTCCTCTGAAGTCAGACACGTTGTAAAGAGAACTGGATTTTCCCTGACCTTTTCTGTGACAAGACTTCACTGTGCTGGTGGCAGACAGCTGGTGTGATGCTCTCATGTCCACAGCTAGTGAAAAGTATGCCTACACTATACTACTTTTTTTCCTCCTCTCTTTGAGCAAATCACTCAGGAGCTGTGGCTATTCTAGGCCACCACCTGGGAGTGTCAGTGCATGTCAAGGACTGGATAGCTACTGTATTGCCTTTTTCTTTATAATTTAAAAAAATGTTTTGCAGCCTTGTTTAATTGGCATACAATAAAGTGTGCATAAAGTTTTAGTTTGAATTTCAACATGTGAAATCTGTGAAACCATCCCTTTCCCTTTTTATCCTTAAAGACTAGGAGATAGGCAGCCTTGGAAAAAGAGGTAGTATTAGTGTTCCATTAGTATGACAGATACCTGAGACTTGCTCAGAGAAAATGCTTATCTTGGCTTAATACTTTTGAAAATTTTAGTGTGCAATCAGTTGATCCCATTACTTTTGGTGAGGAAGCAATCAGGACATGGGTGGTAGAGCGTCCCCTCAAAGTTAGGGGATGAAAAAGAGGAGGGGAAGAAATCCAGGGTTTCACCATGCCTTTGGAGGGCGTATGCTAGTAACTTGAAGCTGTCACCTCCTAAAATTTTCGTCACCTCCTAACAGCACTATATCAGAGACCAAACCTCCTGGACTCTGGGGGGACACTCACAATCTAAAAGGTGGTAGGGACCCTTTAGTGTTCTTAACTTGGAACTTGCTTTCAAACTCCTAATAGAATTGGACTCTTATTTAGACAAGTAGCAGTATTGAAATTTGGGGTATTCAAATTTTGGTAGTGTTTTTACTTCCAGTTAATATAGCAGTAATGAATTGTAAAATAATACAGTGAGACCTGGAAAGATCTTTTCTTAGTTAACGATCAGTTGAGGTTGGGAATCCCTTCATTTGGGTGAAAGGCTCAAAACTGGATGCAGACAAATCGGCTTAGTACCTCCTCGTGGCCAACAGTGGGCCAGCTGTTGTGCAGACTGAAGGCTGTGTGTGAAGGGGCATTCTGGGTGTGCGTGAGGAAGTGGAACTGGGATGTCTTCATGAACCTGGACGCATAACATGGAGGCTCAGAGACCTCTAGGAATTGAAGTCCACCTACAGCAGAACAAGACAAGACTCACCTGGTCCCTGGGAGGAACATGAAATTTCTTTGTGGTGGTTTTTTAAAGAGGCCATTTAGTATAGGTGAATCTCCTGGGAATCATTTATTCTCTCTTTAAAAAAAATAAAATGTACTTTGCTAAATACAGTCAAATAGTAATAAATTTTTTAACTTAAAAATTTTTATACTTGTTTTATTTTTTAAATCTGAAAGGTAATTTATATACAAAACACCTATATATTAAGTGTGTGTTTGGATGAATTGTTCCTTACAAATGAATCATTTTTGTATCATTCCTTCTCATGGGACCACTGCCTAAAACAAAATATAGAACACTTATATCATCCCAGAAAGTTTTATTTTCCTCTTTCTGATTTTTGTCACCATAGGTAGGTTTCCTTATTGTTAGGTGTGTAAGTAGGGTCACTCAGCCTGTGTTGTCTGCTCCAGCTTTTTGTGTGGATGTGTCACAGGGTAACCTTTCCCCTGCTGATGAACATTTGGGTTATTTCCCACTTAGGAATTAGATTGGTGAACATGTTCTCTGAGTCTCATTGTGGAGCTGTGTTGTCATTTTTGTAGGGGTAATATCTGGGAGTCAGGTTGCTGGGTGTTGTGGGGCGTGTGTCTGTGACTGGGGATGCTGTACTTTCTGGTACACACAGGCAGCCTGAATGCTGCACAATGTGGCCCCATGTGGGATATGGGTGCCCTTACAGACTGTAGAACACTGTGTAGGTGTAGACTTCACTATGCTGGAAGTCACTCTTCTGTGTGCAGCTCAGTGTGTTTGGACCACTGTATATTGCTGTACAGTGTCACCACATCCTGGTGACTGCTCTTTGAAAGAGCCATGCACCCCTCCTCTACCAGCAGTGGGTTTTCTGTCACTGTAGATTTGATTGGTCTTTCCTGAGTTGTCTGTCATGCATATAGCCTGTGTTGTTCTGGCTTTCTTCCACGTGATAGAATGATTTTGAGATTTGTTCACAAAGCTTTGTGAGGCCTTTGGTTGTGTAGATGCATGCCACAGTTTACCTGTGGTTAGCTGGTGGACATTTGGGCCATTTCTAGCTTTAGGTAGATAAGTAAAGCTGCCATGATCGTAGCAGTCCAGAAGCCCTCTCCTTTCTTCCTTGGGAACAGACTTTTGTTTCTGTTGCTGTGGGGAGTCAGGCACCTAATGTTTACTCAGTACAGTCATGGCCCTACTGTCCCCCCGGAGTCCTTTGGCAGCTTCTGGAAGCAGGTTGGTGGCCTGTGGTTCCCAGGTTGCTGGGAAGGTATTTTCTGATGTCAGGCTGCTTCTCCACTCTCCTTACTGCTGGCTGACAGTACAGCTTTCTGTGGTCAGCTAAGTCATCTTCCACTGCAGTTTTTTGGGTTTAAAGCACTGTCTTTGCTTCCATTCTTGGTCTGTGTAGATAGTTATTATTATTATTATTTTTATTTCTCAATCTGCCTTCTTGTTCTTTCAGTGTCATTTTTGGTGGGAACAAAAGCAAGTGTGTGTGTTTGACCCGCTCCCTTTACACTGAAGTCTTTTTACCATAGGGTACTGAGCCAATTCCTGTTTGATAAGTTTCTCCTTTTGTTTTTCTTACAACAAATAACACTGAGATGGGCATGCCTACAGTTAAGGCTTTGTATATATTTGCTTATCTCTTTAAGACAGATTTCTATAAGTTAAAAGATATAAGCATTTTTAATGACCACTAGTGAAAATTAAGGCTGTACCACTTTAAATTCCAGTGGGACAGACAGCTGTGTATTTGTGAGCATGTGCTCTGTGGAACTTTATCCTCCACTCCAAACCCCACCCCTGCTGCAGTTGCACACAGAGCTAAGGAGCAGAGTCAGATCTCAGTGAAGATCTGGGCTGCCTGGCCTCATGTCTTGACCATGCTGTTCCCGAGCTGCTGTGTGTCTGGCTCCTCCCTGCATATTTGTCCTCCCCTGTGCCTGGCATGGGCTAGGCTGAGCCCAGGCTGTTGCCTTCTGTTCCAGGTTATACTCCAGGCACACCTTACAAAGTATCCTGCTCCCCCACCAGTGGGGCTGTGCCACCATACTCCTCTTCCCCCAACCCCTACCAGACTGCCGTGTACCCTGTGCGAAGTGCCTACCCCCAGCAGAGTCCGTATGCACAGGTATGCTTGGGCACACCTGGCAGGGTGGGAAGGGGCAGGTCTCTATGGCTGTGGCACCCTGTGGCAGTTGCCTCTCTTTTCCCCACAGCAGGGCACCTACTACACACAGCCACTGTATGCAGCACCCCCTCACGTCATCCACCATACCACAGTGGTGCAGCCCAACGGCATGCCTGCAACCGTGTATCCTGCTCCTATCCCTCCCCCTCGAGGCAATGGCGTCACCATGGGCATGGTTGCTGGGACCACCATGGCCATGTCAGCAGGTGAGTCTCTGTTCCTGTATGTCTCTTCTTTTTTTTTTTTTTTTTGGTTTTTCTCTGGTACCGGGAACCGAACTCACGACCTTGCGCTTGCCAGGCAGGCACTTTGCCGCTGAGCTAAATCCCCAGCCCCTTCCTGTATGTCTCTTCTGAGGAGGCTTCAGCTGATTCAGAAGATCATGAATATTGATCTTTGCCTCTAATGTTTTTACAGCTACATGTAATTTTAGAGGGAGGAAGCAGCAAATCATCTTTGACTTTGCCTCCCTGCCTTTCCTTTTTTGTTTCCTTTTAGTTGAGAGGACACTGGAGTGTGGGGTGTAGAGTAACAAACCATGAACCAAATGACCTCCCATGGAGAGTGTAACTGAACAGCACCCAGACTTTGATCTGGGAGCCAATCCCTTGTGGACTGTTCGTCCGTAATGCGGGCTGAACCTCTCCAAACTTCCTTTACCCTGAGCTGTCTTTGTCGATCAAACTACAGCAGTGAGCCTGTTTTCGTAAATCTAGGAAAGCTGGCCTTGTGTTAACAGAATAAGTGTCTATAGAGATACTTTGGTATTTATCTACTATACTTCCCCAGGCTTCCGGTATGTCAGAAAAAATAAAAACCATGGGGAGGTAACACCTTTGGCTAGCTAGGTTCAGCATGTGTCCATGGACATAGGGACACCCTGGGGACTTGATCTTATGATGTCTGGGGACTGGCTTATGTCCAGGTCTTTGGCTAATGTGGCCACTTTCAGGTGGGGCCCACAGAAGTTACACTTGGTTGCCCATAATTCTTTTATTCCCGAGCTTTATTTCAAAATAAGGGAATTGTGATAGAGAGAGGCATTCCAGGATACTGTGTGTTTCTGCTCAGACTCTCCATTTCACTTGGCTTCCCTACCTGTCTGTGCAGGTTGAGAAGACTGTGCAGAAAGAAGCGTGCCTTTAGCCTGTGCGGGGAAGGAGCGCAAGCAATGGCCCCAGAGTTGACCCCAGTGCTGAGGCAGTGTTTTTCCTGAATGGACTCAGTCACTGAGCCTCTGTGTACAACAAAAATAGATTTCTTGTAGTGTACTTCTTGGAAGCTCATGTAGTTTGGAACCCTGCTTCACATGTTTCCTTGCCCTTCCCATCTTAACCATTTTTTAGTGTACAGTTTTTGTGGTGGTGGTTTTGGTTTTTTTGAGACGGAATCTCATTATGCAGTTTAGGCTGGTCTTGAACTCAACTGTGTAGCCCAGGCTGGCCTCGACCTTGTGGCGGTCCTCCTGGTGTAGTATACAGTTCTCTAGTGCCAAGGATATTCACAATATTTTAACTTTTGCAAGTCTGAGACTCGTTTACATATTAAGCCAAACTCACCTTTTCCACTGTCCCCTTCCTCTGGTAACGACCATTCTGTGTTTTCCTTCAGTGAATTTGATGACTGTTAAATACCTCATTAGTGAAATCATGGTATTTTTTTGTCACTGGCTTTTTTTCCTTTTTTATTTAAGCATTGTGCCCTTAAGTTTCAGCTATGTTGTAGCATGTATCAGAATTTCTTTCCTATTTAAGGACAACAGTATCATTTTTAAACTTTTATAGCTTATCATCTGACTCATAAAAATTACTGTGCATATTCTATGAAAGGGAGGCACAGACCCTTTTACAAGTATATTATCAGTAGGAGCCAACTGTGGTTGGTGTAACATGTTTACACCCTTTGGGATAATCTAATCAGACTTCTGCCCTTTCTTTGGGTCTGAACCATCCCCCTCCTTTGGGCCTCCCTCTGGACAAAGAGGTCAGGCCTCATCTCTTCATAGAGGCAGTGGAGCGCCATGCAGATGTTGGCTATGCTGTGTGTAGGCCTGCCTTGTCTGCCATGTGCTGCTTTTTCTTCCAGGTACCCTGTTGACTGCTCACTCTCCAACTCCAGTCGCCCCTCACCCGGTTACTGTGCCCACATACCGGGCCCCAGGAACACCCACTTACAGCTATGTGCCCCCTCAGTGGTGATCACCCTGCAGACAGACGTAAGTGGCCATGAAAGCTGATGGGGCCCCGGTGAGAGTGTTTTCCTGAGGAGAATGGCAAACCTATTAGCACTAACAAGAAAAATGCACCCTTGAGCCCAGAGCAGTGTAGTGTTTTATACTTTTGTTTTTATTGGGACTCCACAAAGTAGAATGAAACTGTGAGTATCTGTTTGTTTAGAGATGGGGTCTTGTGTGCTACCACACCTGGCTGGTGTATTTACTTCTTATAGTGTGCACCTTGATCCTTACTGGAATGTACTTGTATCCCCTCCTCCTACCTTCAGAAAAGAGGGAATCCCTAGTGTCTGTGTGTGTCGGGGGGAGGGTTAGAATCAGCTGCCTTGCCCACCGTGGTCCTCTCTGGAAATGTGGACCTCGCCGTGGCATTTTCTGAGCGGCATTCCAGAAGCGCTCCGTGTGACTGTGTCTCTGTTCTCCCCCAGGTTTGAGGATGGAGCTGTGCAGTCACATCATTGAGGTTCCACAGCTGGTGCTGCAGGCCTTGTGCCTCCAACCAGGACTTTCTTCTTAATGCTCTCAACACTTAGCTAAACACGACTCCGTCCCGGCCCAGCAGGTCCCAGCGCCGTTAGTCTCCAACTAACTCTGTGGGTTGGTCTTAAAGCAAATCCTGTTTTGTGGTCTGCCTGGCAATTTTTTTAGCTAACTGTAATGATAAGAAGGGAGTATTAATCTATTCTGAATCATATCTAGTTGAATGCATGTTAAAAACAAACACAAAAACCAAGCTTGCTCAATCTACCTGCAGTGACTGATGCAAAACCATCATATGCAAAACCCAAAGGAATGGACATGTATTTTACAACTTGTATCACTAATGCACTGTTGTAATGTTTGCAGTCTTAACATTAATAAGTGTTCAAGTGAATTTCTTCATAGAGCATCTGAATTACCTTAGATGATTGTTCAACCTTTTGGGGTTGATGTGGGTAGCCAGCTAGGGATGTGGATGTTTAGTTTTCAGTGTCCTGTTTTTTCGATACTGACTGCACCAAGAGGGAACTGCAGGGACAGGGAGAGAGTAGGGAGGCTACAGTGGCTCGGGAGCAGCTGGTTAGGGGACATCCCTTCGGGTCCGGAACAGGGACATGCTTAAAGATCATCATGAGACATTAGAGCGATGTGGCCAGGACACAGGGGCGAGGGAGGTCTGTGTATCAACAAAACAATTTTCTCTGCCATCCAAATTTTCATTGCACATCTCTTACAAAGAAGAATGATGTTTTTTATATCTTTATTAGAAAAATCTTGTGTAGAACTAGATTATTTTCCTGGAATGGAAGGTATGCAAAAGAGAAACAGCCCCATTTGGAGGAGGTATCATCTTTTCCTTTAGCTTAGAAAGTCATTCCATATTTTTTTTTCCCCGAGAAATGTTTGAGTCAGTTAAAAACACTTGGGCGTTACTGTTTCTCTCACAAAGAAGGGCAAAGATTTCAGCTGTGTGTTATGGAAGGTGCTGTATACTTATGAATGCTTAAAAGGGAACAAAACTATTTTAAATTCCTCATGTTTATTCAGAGAGGCAAGGTCATGACTAGGTCTGCGAATGTAAAGCTGTAGCTTGTCCTGAGGCTCTCCATCTGTGCTGACGACTTAATTACCTCCTGTCTGGCTCGAGGATGTGGCTGGGTGAGGGGCCAAGGGTTGTGTCTGGGAGTGAGTCTCTTCTGCCCACTCCTCTTGCAGCTGAGGGCACTTGGTGCCAGCATGTGGGACAGCACAGAGGGCCTGGCAGTAGTGGAAAGTATTTGCCTGCTGGCATCTGTTATGGAAGAGATTTTGAGTTTAAAATCTGAATATTGTACATAAGAAATTGAGAGGTTTTTTTTTTTTTTTTTCCTTAATAAGCCTGACTTTGGCAGGAATGGCTGTCCCTTCTCAGTGAAGGTCAGAGGGCTGGTAAAAACACTTGCTCCCTTTTAGGGGTCTGTCAGGTGGGGATGGGTGTGCCTTTTTTCCCACCCTAGTGTTGTTGAAGTGCTAGTCTTCAGTTGGGAGGGGATTCTGTGCTGCTTCTGTCTCTGGCAGCTTGGTCGGGGCCCTGGCGCTGGGATGGAGGTTGCTCCATTAGCAGTCATCCTGGCTGGCAAGTGGAATACCTGACCACTGAGCCTTTGGTAATTTTATTTTTTATAATAAGTACTCATCATAACTTACTTTTTTTCACATTTTATAAATTTGGGAATATTTTTGCATGGCTCATTGTAATCAAGAGTCCTTATTCCTAGTGTCCATTAATATAGAATGTTTACTGATAAGTACTTTAAATCGCTTCCTGAGCACTTAACCCGTGTGTGTGTGTGTGTGTGTGTGTGTGTGTGTGTATGCGTGCTCGCGCGCGCACACACATGTGTGCATGTGTTGTATCATTTACCCTGTGTATGTGAACACACAGTTGTGTTCATTTCTGCAAGTCTGTGTTGGTAATTCCATCTGTGTAATGGATGATTTGCAATGTTGGTAGTTCCAAGGGTTCCAGGGACTCAACTGACTGATGGAGAAGGCATTTTTCCCAGTTGAGTGATAATACACAGGAGAACATATTAATGATTTTAGTGTATGCTTTATAAAAAAGCCCCTCACAAAAGTGGAAACATACCCATGGCCTACCTGTAAGGGGTGGTGTCGTTCACAATCAGGAGGAAGTTCTAAGAGGATACGTGGGCTGTGTCCAGGCCTGCATGAGACTGGCACACACAGGGTGAGTGTTCTCACAAGTGCTGAGTTGGAGGAAGTTTTGCATCCCCTGATCCCCATTTGTATCAGCTATATGAATACTTTCTTCTCTATAATTTTTTTTCCCTTTTTGTAAGGTTGAATTGAGAGACTATGAGATACTTACTTGATAGTACAATATGTTTTGTGGAAATCTTTCCAATTTTGAAACTTACTAGGGCGTCAGGTATCAAATCTAGGAAAGGTAGATAATACCTACCAGATAAGAATCTAGACTTAGTAATAGTAATAAAACGCTCATAGGTTGGATTCCATTCTAGTAAAATTAATTAAATAGTACTTGGGTCAGTAATCTGTTACAAAGCTGCATAGTTTGATATCCCAAGCATATTGTGGAACATTCCAAGGACTTTTGCTTTTTATATGTGTGACATTTCTGATTTGAGAGGTCTTCAAGTTGAATTAATTGTTCTTTGAGAGACTGAGACAGGAAGCAGAAGACCTAGTTCTTGTAGACATGGGCATCATTATGGATATTTAAACAATTTTTTATTCTCTACCTTCTCCTCTGAGGCTTGAGAGTTGTCATCTTCAGCTGTGTAGCTGCTGCTGCTCTCAGCTCATGGAGATGTAGTTAGAAGCCAGTTGGAGGCTGAGTGAGTATTGAAAAGCAGCTCGTGTGTTCCCTGACTTAGAAGCGAGGCCACTCTCAGGGCCAGAGCCTAGTAGTCATGATAACAGGCATGGAAGTGCTTCCAGAACCTTTTATATATGCTGTGGACCATCTTTTGAGAATGTTCTTGTTGGTGTGGTTATGGCCTACCAGTTGCTTATTCTGTGAAACTCTTTCCTGAGTGCTATGCAAATGTATTTTCGGGTGGCAGGGACCTGAGCAGGGCACCAGGCTGCTGAGTGTCCAGGCACCTGGTGCTTTGCTCCATCTGGTGGTGCCATCCTGCTGTGACAGGCGGCCAGGAAGTAAGTTGCATGTGTTCTTGAAAAATGTGTCATTGAGAGGACATACTTTCTTAGGGCAGTTTGGAATGCACTAACGTCCATCAGCATTGTCCTTGTGTGGGCTTTCCTGATTCCAGTTGAGTAAATGTCGGGTTGCTTTGCAAAAGGAAGTCCAGACTTCACCTGTCTCTTTTTGAACATTTAGATACAGTATTACTCTGACCAATTGGGCCACTCTCTCTCATCTGGCAGCTGACAGTTGGCTGCTCCAATTATAGTTGGCCTGGCACTGCCTGGCAGCACAGGGCCCCCTGTGGGTGCAGCAGCAGGTGGGGCAGCCACTGGTCCTTCTCACTGGTGCTTTCTGAGGGAGTCTGGTAGGAGTGTGGTTGCTTAGGGAGGGCACAGCTTAGCGCTCCTGTTTTGCACATCTCCCAGGTCTGGTGTATGTGCTTCTCTCAGCTGCTTACTGCTCCACCTGAGCTTCCCGAAGGTGGGCAGACTTCTGAGTGCACTGCAGGTGCTGTACTGAGGTGGGGAGGGTGTGGTCTTGCATGTTTTAAGGGTTTGTCTCTCTTCCCAACTCTCAGTTCATTTGAAGAATGGAGACCCTGTGAGATAACCTGGCTTTAGTCCACAGGACTAACAGTTCATTCAGAATGCCGAGATGGAGGAGTGGAATCTATCCAGAGAGCTGCAGTGCACTTCAGGAGGGTGGGCTGTTCCAGATTAGCTGGCAGGCAGCTCCCTGGCGGGGCCTTGGGCCCTGATGTAGGCTGGTGGGCAGTAGCAGGAGTGGGGCCAGATGGAGCCATGCTCCAGTGGCCTTGTGGGCTGTGACTGGATAGGAAACGGTTCCTTTTTTGTTTGTTTGTTTTTTAGTGATTTTTAAATACTGTTTTTTACACTGTTCTCTTGGTACTTTTTTAAGCTTAAGTCAGCGTTGTCTTCCAGTGTTAAAGGCACCCCTCACCTCTGCGTTGAACTTCCATGTCATATAAAGGAGTGGACCACCCATCCTGAGCCAGTTCAATTAGGTGTCAATTCACACTTTTAATTTTTTATGCAATCTGATGAGTAGATGAGCTCAGATTTAAAATTCTTAAAGGCACGTTTATTGTAACGAATTGTTATGTATTAATACTGCAGTTTTCAATAAAGATTGACTTGTGTTGCATATTCTGTTTTTCATGACTTTTTCCATGTCCAGAGATAATTTGGTTTGATTGGGAGGTACTGTAGCTTCTCACAAGTTAGGAGATTGCCAGGCGTTTGAGGGAAGAAGCTGGTGTGGTATCCAGCCCCAGGAACCTTGGCTATGTCAGGTACAATGGAGGCAGTGGGGTATAGATACGGGGTAGGGGCTGTTTGTCCGGGTGGGACACAGAAGGAAGCAGCCTCAGGCTTCTCTCCTGGCTTTTGTGGCTGCAGTTTTCCTGGGATAGACTATGCCCATTCAGCAGGCAGGGTGCTGAGGCCCTAGAAAAACAAAACTTACATTGGGTAACTCCAGCAAAAAACTCTGGGAATGGTGAAGAAGGGGGCAGTTTCCTCTCTGCCCTAGGGGCCAGGGCAGAGAGGAACAGTGTCAGTTGTGCCCCACACCTGGCCAGCTCCTGAGGCTGTATTCCTCTTCACTCCTTCGCCTCTAGGCTCATTTCATCTTTAGGAAAGGCTAGGGGAGACATGGGGTAGCAGGCAAAGACAAGTGCACACACACACCAATAGAGAACAAGGGCTGGCAGCCAGGTTACTTTTTATAAGTTTCTTTATGAAATCAATGTGGTTTCTGGCCTGGAGAAGGTATAGTGCCAGTCACTGTCCAAGCTGCTGAGTCCCGTGGCCTCCATGCCCATGTGTGGGCCACACCCCCCAGGTCCCCAAGGACCAGGGCTGGGTGGGTCAGTTCTGGATCCTGGGCCACAGAATTCAGTCCTTATGGCTTCTCACGCTCACTAGGGTAAGGCTTTCAGTGTCACAACAATTATTTTTCTCCATTTTTAGAAAAACAATACAACAAAATCCAAAACAGAAACCAAGTGATTCTGTAGCCTCCTCACAGCTGTAGGTGGACTGGTCACAAAACATGGCTGTCCTTAAGTGCTGACTTGGCCTTGTTCTTCCCATGCCACAGCCATATCACAAGTGAAGAGGTATCCAGTAGCCAGCAGCGTTCTGAGGGGCCAGGAGGCAGAAGGGCAGCTCTGGGCCAGACATTTGGGGTGCAGAACTCCTGGTTCTACCCTCTAGGGGGTGGGTGGCTTTGCCCCACCTACTGGGTGGGGGCCTGAGGAGGAGGGCAGAGGGGGGCACGTAGGGGGCTGGTGGCCACAGGGAGGCTGATGTGCCCAGAGACACACTTAGGGCTGATTAAATTTCCAAAGGGTCGAGTGCAGGTGGGAGCAGGAGGGGTGGTGGGCAGGCTATAGGTGGTACTGCTTGGTGAGGGTGGGAGCCCTGCCTCCCCTGCCACCTGGTCTCGTCACTGCCTCTTCACTGTGCCAGCAGCAAGGGCAAAACCCAGGATGGGGCACAGACCTGGCACCTTTGCAGGCCCCAAGCTCAGCCCTGGTCACTTGCAGTGTGCAAAACAGGCAGAGAAGGGCCAAGTGGAGTGGGCCTTGGGAGGCGAAGCTGGGGGCCAGGAGTGGACACATCCACAAAGTGCTGTCAGGTGGGTGTTGACTCATTTGCGGAAGGGCGCCAGCCTGCTGATGCTGTGCCAGAAGGTGGATGGTTTCCGCCGGGGCTCTGTCAGTACCGAGACCTGCTGTTGGGGCCGGTTGATGGGCAGTGTGGGGTGCTTCTGTCGTGTCAGGTAGCAGGGCCTGCTGACAGCTGGACGGAGAAGCAGCGTGGTTGTGGGTGTCAGGTGGCATAGGGCAGAGATGCCCACTGTAAGGCTCTGCAGGGACCCCCACACACACTTGCGGTGTTTGGTTGCACAGGACTCATTTCCTCGGGCTGACCATACCCTGGGGCCTCTGGCCTGTGCCCAGCTTACTGAAGCCCAAAGGGGATGGTGTGTGGCTACGTCCAAGTTACGGGACACTGGACTCTAGAGCTGTGAGGGACAAGTCCTTTCTAGGCAGCTGTGACAATGCTTCTTAGAGCCTGGGGAACTGAGCACTGTCACCAGTGGTGCCATTTCGGGGTAGGTCAGAGAGGCCAAGAGCAAGAACAGCTGTAAACTGACCCAGTCTTTGTTACCAGCCTTGGGGAGCACACCTGCAGAGGGTAGCGTGCACCTCCAAGGACCCTGGTGTCTCGCTGTGCTTTGGGGTCAGGAGAATGTAACCGGTCCAGAACTGCCCAAGCAGGAACTGCTAGTCACTTACCTTTGGGCTTCCCTGTGGCCTGCTGTTTGCTGGCATTCAGCATGGCCTGCTTCCTCTGCATCTCAGTGATGGAGAAACCTGGGGAGAGGGTACACACGAGACCCATTTCATCCTTCCCTGTCCACAGGCCTCCGTAGGATGTGCTTTATGGCCCATTATCTTCCCAATGCCAGGCTATCCCCCAGCCTGTTGTCAGTCTGCCCAGAGCCTCCCATCTCACCTCAGCCCCTTTCCCCCATCCCACTCTCCCTGCATCTAGTGTCCCTTTCTCTGCTGCAGTGGAGGCTTTCCCCAGGCACAAGCTGACGTCGCTGCAGAGTGGAACACCAGGACCATGACCAGGAGGGGGAAGCACCGGGGAGAGGCCTGCTCACATGGGCCCAGGGATGCTTCTGGAAGCCTATACCCCTACCCCTTTCCTCCCAGAGCCTGAGCTGCCTAGAAAGGGGCTCCCTTTGCTCTGAGCAGCTTGATAGAGTGTCTGGGAGCCCGCGCCCTGGAGCCAAAAGCTGATGAAGGGCCATTCTTTCTGGTGGGGAGCACAGGATAGCAGTGCCTGTGCTGGCTGCTGGGACTGAGAGGCTCTTGGGGCCTCACCAAGTTTAAGGCCTTGGGTCTGAGATGCATTCTCACTGTTTCATGGTGGTCCTGCCTGCCTGGCAGTTGGGCTGAGCGGGCCAGAGTGGGGCAAGCCCCAGCAGGGTCTCCCACCTGTCTCCTGGTCCAGGCGCACCTGCTCCCTCTCCCTGGCAAAGGCCTTGAGCCAGCGCTGCTTCTGCTCAGGCTTCCTGGTACACAGCAGGTGGCTGTCCCCAGAGGTGCTGCAGTGCAGTCGGAAAGCATTCTTGATGTTCACGTGGAGCTCTTGGTCCTTCCCATCCTCTAGGTCCACCACCTCTGAGCCATCCATGTCCAGCCTGCCCTTGTAGTACAGCATGTCTCGGCGGAGCAGGTCCTGCCAGATGCCATCCTGAGCCCTGGCTGCCGCACCCTGGGCCCACCTCCACCCTCAGTGCAGCCATCTCCCCAGTGCATAGTGGGCACCTGATAGCCCTGGTCCATCCCAGAATGGCCAGCTGCCGACCTGTGGGGCCTGCCCTCTGAAAGGTGCAGTCTGCCACAGAGACCAGGGCAGCACCCGACACATCACAGCAGAGAAGAGCATGGTGCACAGGAGGGCTGCCTGTGGGGTCCTCTGGACCATGTTTTCAAAGAGAAGCAGAAGCTACAAGCTACAGGAAGACCAAGAGACGGCTGTAGCAGAGGCCCTCAGGGTTGGCAGAGGAAAGCAGAGGTTTGCAGGAGATGTGGCGGCTTGAGAAGCAGGCAGGGGACAGTCAGGAACGAGGGTGTCCTTAATGGGGCCTTGGCCGGTTGGAGAGCCACCATGGACCCTGGGCTCCCCCCACAGAGGTACCCTCACCTCATCCCAGGCCAAAGGGTTTCCAGGAACAGCTGCAGAGGGCCTGGAAGGCTCCTCAGTGTGGGCAGCAGTCTAATCCCTCATCTCTGACCCTCCACCTTCTCTAAATGGGGCTGGCCCAGCAGGGCAGTGGCTGGTACCTTCTTACAGTAGATAAGCTGGTGGTCAAAGAGGAAAAACATTCTCTGCTGGCTCTTGGCTTGAGGCTGTGTAACACGAGTCAGCTCCCCCGAGTAGATGAGTTCCGAGCTCCTAACCAAGAGATCTTCCCCCTGAAGGACCCCAAGGAAAGCCAGAGCTGAGTGCCCTGACCTTGGCCATGTGGCCAGCTGAAGAAGGCCTCCCTTGTAGGTGGCCTCCTAGGCTGAGCCCAGGTGGAAGGGGCATCTGGAGGCCAGGAAGTCCTCTGGGTCTTGGAGGTAGGATCTATGGAGGGGGAGGAGAGAGGAGTGGGTTTGACCTGGGCTGGCTGGCCTTGCAGACTGGCCCCCCATGGTCAGTGGCCTCCATGGCTGTTGGACAGTGCAAATGTGCCCAGTCCATATGGAGATTTGATGCTGGGGTAAAACACACTCACTTTGAAGATTTAGTGAGAAACAGAATGTAAAATATTTCATGAATCATATTTTATACTGACTACAGCCGAAATGATTTGACATATTAAGTTAAAAATTATTATAATCACTTTCACCTGTGTTTTTCTTCCTTTGTTAAAATGGCTACCAGAACTGGGTGTGGTGGTGCATGCTTGTAATCCCAGCACTGGGGAGGCGAAGGCAGAAGTACTGCTGTGAGTTCAAGGCCAGCCTGGGTTACATAGTGAGTTCAGGACCAGCCTGAACTGCATAGTGAAACCCTGTCCCAAAAAAACAAAAAGATGGGTACTAGAAAGTATAGAAGTCTGTGTGTTGCTCACATGATCTTTTGATTGGACATTGCTGCCCTAGAGAAAAACTAGGCTGTAATTTACCTGTGTAGCGAATCTTTAAGATCTTAAGGAGGTCCTCCTCCCAGCTTAAATATATTTTAGGACCTGAGTTCCACAATCAGAGCGTCACATCTTCAGACTAAGGTCTGCCTGTGGGGCTCTTGACAGCCATCCCGTCTCAGATGATTGAGTTTACAGGGGTCCTTAGCCTAGGCAGGGCCTCAAAACCAGTGGGCCATGCTGCCAAGTACCACCCCTGGATGCCAATGCACTGTCAGGGGTAGCGCCCGGGACTGTTTTATAGTGCTCTGTGGTTGAGGGTGACTGATTTTAAGGTAGTTCCCCTTCATGACAGTTTATACAGTGCTTGTTAGTGGTACCATGTGGGTGGGGAACCCTCCTCACAGGAGGCATGTCAGCAGATGGTAGAGGACAGAGCCCCCTGTACCTGTGAGCAAGAAGGCCTTTGTTAGTTCATGCTTTGGTGTTGCCTTAGAAAGACACCTGGGGAGTGTGCAAGCCAGAACCATGGAACCAGGGGCAGAGCAGTTTGGACTATGCTGATGGGCAGAAACCCTGGTATTGGGAGTCCCAGAAGCTGACTGAAAGCCAGGGGACCCAGCTTGTCCCCTGAGGGCAGCAGAACAGACTGGTGCTTCTGAGAAACATCCTTCCTCCTGTGGGGCTTCTCCTGGGCTGCTGGCAGCTGGTGGGGAAGACGGTCATGTCTTGCACGGGTCAGAAAGCCACCAGCACCACGCCCGGCTCTGGGAAGTCGCACCAGAGTCCCCACAGCAGCACACAAGAACCTGCTTTTCACCATGTCTGCTCCCACCTAGCAGCCTGGCCCTCTGCTCTTCTCCCTCCTAGGTGTTCAGAGACAAGCAGAGCTCTCAGGCCAAGGCCCCACAGTGTTCTCTGAGCTCCAAGGCCCTCACCTCCCAGTCTTCTATGGAGCTCTGCCACTGAGCAATCTTGTCGATGTTTTCAAGTCTCCGTTTCCGTTCGTTGATGAGCCGGGCTACATTCTTCATGGCATGCAAGGCAGCTTCAACATCCTTGAAGTCCCTGGGCAGAACAGAGTGGGAGGGTGCTGCCATCTGGTGAGTAGGGAGTTGTAGGTGTCTCCTGAAGCCCACCCTGTGCCCTTGGCCACTGAAGCATAGTCCCGCTCTTGTCCAGAAATGCCAGGCCCGGAACAAGGTCTACCCAACTGATGTCCTCCTCCCCATCGTGGTGGCAGCTTGAGGTGAGCCCCCTGTCCATGGCTATACCTGACACTCTCGGTGAGGCTGTGGGGCCCAACCCCTCATACCTGTGCTGGGGTGGCGTGTACTTGAGCAGCTCAGCCAGCTGTAGTGGGTATTTGCAAATCTTCTGCACGGGTGTCAGCAGGAAGCCATCCAGAGAGATGTCAATCATTTTCTGCAGCAGCCGGCAGGCCTCGAAGAAGTACACGTACTTGCTGAGCTTGGTGAGCCGAGAGAGCTCCATGCAGGCATTGGGGTGGTTGTTGCAGTATTCAGAGTAGATCTGGAAGTCTGCTTGCTGGGCAGCAGAGGGAACAGTTTTGGGGTAGGACAGCGATCTCCTGCTTCCCAGGCAACTGGTCACCCATCTGGGGAAATCAGGGCCTCTGGATCCCCTTCAGGAGCTAGGCTAGGGACCCAGGCACTGTGGATGTACATGGTAATGAGCCACAGCTATGTGGAGTCACCTATAGCTGGGAAAACCTGCAAGGACGTGTGCCCACCCTGTGGCTCCCAACTTTATCAGTAAGGCCCTTAGCAGATATTTTAATTGTATCAATTTACAAAAAAAAAAAAAAATTCAGTGGTGCTGCTAAGAAAGGGCTATCAAGGCCAAAAGGCATAGGGGTGGGGGCTAGAAATAGGTATGATTTGCTCCAGCCCTCAGGGCTTCCCAGGAGAGGAGCAGATCCCTCCCAGGCTGACCAAGACCTGTGCTGCTGGGAGCCTCCCCTGACTTGGTTCCTCACAGCAGAGACCCTCCTCAGACTGCTGAGGGCAGCTGGCAAGGCAGAAGGTACACCGAGACGTTTCGAAGATTCTGGGAAGGGAGCAGCAGGTTCCCTGGGGTGGAGCGCAGAGGCCAAGAGCAAAGGGGCACCAAAATAACCAAGTGCCAGCAGACAGCGGGGCTGGCAGGCAGGCAGGGCTGGGGTTCCATGGGAAGTCTGTGCTCACGTGCTCCAGGAAGCAGGCACCCAGCTCGCTTAGGTGTGGACGCTCGCTGTTGAACCTCTGCTCCAGGGCCTTCACGAACGCCTTCTGGCAGCGGTAGATGTCCTCGATGTTGCCAAAGATGGTGTGCAGCTGCTCCTCGCTGAACATGTCCACGCGCTTGCGGCACTGCCTGATATAGCCCTGTGGGATGGCCAGCACATCAGGCTCGGGCTCCTCTACCCGCCCTGCCAGGGCAGGGCCCCCCTCACCTCGCAGATGTCTCGCAGGTGCTTGATGTAGTCCCGTTCTGTGCTGAGGATCTCGTTGATGACGTTAGTCCGCATCTGGTCCTTGCTGCTTTGCACCTCCACCCCGCCATCCTCCATGGCACCGGTCCTGGCCTGTGGGGCCTCGGTGTCATCTGCTGGCTCGTCCTGGTTCACACGCAGCTGTGGGCAACATGGGGCCAGTCAGCACCCTGCAGCCCTGCACAGAGTGCACGACTGTGCAACTAAGCCTGGGTACTTGCGGGGAACCCGGGCCAAAGGTGCTTGCTGTACCTGCATCACATGTGCACAAGGTGGGCAGTGGGATAGTGTGCCTTGTGTCCCAATGTTTACAGACCACCGTAGTCACCTGGCAGGCCCCATGTCCCCCTGCTTTCTGCAGACTTTGCTTATATTCAACGTGTTCCCTGGAACGTGTGCCAGGAATTTGGGAACCACAGCCTGCTCATACTGTGCCATCTAGGGGCTGTGACGCTAGGGCATGATGGCATGGTCCTGCTGGTTCTCTAAGCTGTAAATTCAGGAAAAGGCTTGGGGAGCAGAGGGGGATGGTTTACCCAAGGAGTGTGGGGACAGGAACAGCTGAATGCCAGCTGCTCCAGTTTGGCTTTTTGGAGACTGGATTCCTTCCCTGGAGACCAGAGTGCATTAGGTGGGATTTGGGTCCCTTCCCTGTGAACATCTGGGTTGATGACTGCTTGTGCATGCCTTAGCTGTCCCAGAGTTCCACCTCACAGGGTGTGTATTAATCAAGATGACTCAGTAGGTGAGTTTTTCATGGTATGTGGTACTCTAATGTACACTGTTCCCCTTGGCAAGATGTAATCTCCACACAGTCACTCCTGACCTGTTTTCTCTTGCCCCAGGGCTCTCCAGGATGAGGGTGGGATCAGGGGATGGAGGAGGTACTGGCAGTTTTGGGGAGGAAAAAGGTTGTGTCACAGTTCTCTGACCCCCACCCTGCAGCCCAAGGTGCCAGCATTGTGGAGAGGCAAGGTCCACCCAAAATGTGCGACTCCAGACCTGTTTTGAGTGTGGATTACCCCAGGTGGCTCTTCTTGAGCCTGCGACCATACCCTCACGAAGCTGGCTGGAAACCACCCCTCGACGTCAGCGACACGGCCCCACCACCACTCTCTGTTGGTGGCATCCATCACTTCGATGACATCTCCAGCTTTGAAGCCCAGTTCCTGGTCATCCATGGTGACATGGTCCCAGAGTGCTTCAGCACAGACCACACTGCCATCACTGATCAGCTGTGGAGAGAGCCATAGGAGGTGGGTCACGGGTCAAGGATGTCCTGGGCCCAGGCTGAAGCCCTTCCTGCCCTCTGTCCCACCATCAGCAGTCTTGGGAAGAAGGAACCCTGACCCACTCTACAGAGGGGCTGATGGGCTTCCTCCCAGCCAGCAACTGCTCTGGGGCCAGAGCCATATCCTGGGCACATAGAGACTGTCCAGGGCAGTGATGGAGTCTGAGGTGAACCTGACCCAGAATCTTGACTAACCTTGAATCATTCCCTCTGAGCTGGGCCACACCTTCCTAACCCAAGACTGAGCCTCTTAGCTTCCAACCCAGCTTCTGGTTGCTGCCCTGGGATGCTGAGGCTGAGGCTGTGCCAGCTGCTGCCTGGTAAGCTCTTCTCAGGCAGCACCCAAGGGGGGTACAGAGCTTCAGGGAGAGGGTGCTTATATCCTGTTGTGGGTTTCTTCTCATGGACTTGCAGTGCCTCTGAGGCCACCTAGCAGTTGACAGTGCTGCTTTATACAGGTGCAACAGTGCCCTAGCACTGGAGCAGCTGGATCCAATTTGTGAGTTTTATTTTTTTGAACTCTTGCAGAGCCAGCCTTAGGACAACTCTGCCCCCAACAACCCAACTATCCACATCACCTCAGCAGCACCCTCTTCAGCATTCTAGGTCCCAAACCCTAGGATTTTAGGCTAATGGAGAAGGAGGTGCATCTGACAGTTCTTAACCATCTGACAAACTTTTGTACCAGCTTCTCTATGTGAATCACTGATAAATTTCCCATCTTAGTGCACTGGCACATTTTCAGGCCCGCTCCCCGCTGCCTCTCTCGGGCAGCCCTTGCATCCTGAGCTCTGTTTCTCATGGTGTTGACAGCTGCTATCCTATAATGTGGGCTCCATTCTTGCTCCAGGGGCTTCAGGACAGAGAGAAGGAGCTTCAACTACCCCTCACTGATGAGACTTGAGTGTTGGTGCCCCCATCACAACCACCAGCCTGGCACAGCAGTTAAGGAATGATCTGGGAGGTGCTCCACCGAGTGTCCTTCGTGCTCTGTACGCCCTCTCCCTCTGCTTTCCTAGGTGCTCCTGGGCAGTGTACATGCTGATCCTCACACTGACAAGGGGACGTGGAGCAGGGCTGCACTCTCAGCTGACACTGCTCAAGCCTCCATCCCAGTCCCTCTGAGCTGAGACTGGTCAAGCCTCCATCCCAGCTACCTAAGATGCTTTGGCACCCACATGGCATGGCGAGGGGTGGGCACTGTCCTCCAAGCAGGTTTGGGAGGCCCAGTCGCTGGCACTTGCTCTTGCCTGAGAGTGGCAGCTACTCCAGACAAGCCTGTGCACATGCGTACACTGATGGTACAGTGGCTGTTCAGCGTCCACACAGGTACTCTAAGCACATATGCCCAGGAGCAGCAGCCCTCGGACCTCTGCCCTCACTCCTGGCTGTGAGGACCTCCTGCAGGTGGACCAGGCTGCCACACCAGTGGGTGAGCCAGGAGAATTCAGCAAGGAGGAGTTAGCCTGCTGTACGTGCAGAGCTGGCACCTCCCACTGTGGCTCCATGGGAGGCCTTGAAGGCTGTGGCTCCAGGGAAAGAAGGAAGTGGGCACTCCTGGTGGTGTGGGTGAGCCAGGAGAAACATGCAAGGGACCATGCCTGATCTGGGGTCTGTAAGTACGGGCCATAGATCTAGGGGAAGAACCCACCCACACACTCAGCACTGCCCCTCTGCCCACTGACTCCTATCCTAGATGGATCCTGCTGTGTATTAATCAGGAGGAGCATCTCCCTCTGGGCCCCGATTCATTCAACAAGTCCCTGCAGCCTGTGCTCTGAGCCACCCTTCCAAGGCTAGTTCCTGCCAGCTGCTGGTGAAGCATGGAAGTATGGGCCAGGAGGCTTCACAGGGACCAGACTCTGGTTGACCTGCCCAGAGGCCTTGAAGCCCTTGAGGCAGGGTGGAAGGAGGGGTTTGTCACCTTTGTTGAGTCCTTGTCTTAGAAGCATATCTTACCCAGGAGACACCAGATAGACACATGGCCATGAGGAAGTTCTCTGATCTCCCATGTCTCCCATCAGCATCCCAGTAGTAGCAACATCTACCATATGTGTCACCCACAATGCTTAAGGAGATAGAGACACATTTCCTAGGACATCAGCACCATCTCCATTTGCACAGCAGCTGGATGGGCTTCATGCAGAGGCCTCTTGATTCTCTACCTTGGGTGCAGCTGCACCTTAAGTCAAGAGTCAAGCCCAATAGCCAGAGGACAAAGATTCCAGCTGCCACCCAGGGGAGAGCAGAGGCCAGGATGTTTATTTGGAGGCAGGTGGGGCAACTTAGGGAGGGCCAAGTTCAAGACTAAGACAAGGTAGAAGACAGGCCAGGATCCCTTCCTGCATCTCCTCCCACTCTGGCCAGCTCTGGAGAGGGTAAAGCTACCAGACTTTGCCTCACACCATCCCTGCTGACTGACTACTGCCACCCTTTCTCATTCTGCCTTCTCCCTCTCTCACATACAGGGCCTGGTGGCTCCATCAGCCTGAGAGTGCAAGGCTGGGCTCTGCACGCTGTACAGGGAGTGTGTTCCGGCTCTGGCCTGAAGGAGGCTGAAATGGGGAAAGGGCTGCAGGGAACATTAGCAGCAGAGCCCGGACATTTCCCACAGACCTTGGTCAACCCACGCTGGTGCATTCCCAGTTCTGCTCACCCTGCAGGCACAGGCACACGCACACGCACACGCACACGCACACCTCCCAGCAGCGTCCCTATCCTCAGTTACCACGGAATGCGCCACCCCCTCCCACCTGGCATGGAGGACAGATGGAAGGACCCCCGTCCCCCCCCCCCCCGCACATGTGCACACCGGATGTAGCACCTCAAAATGAGCACATGGTTGGTGGGAGGTCTGCCATGCAGTGTGGGGTTGCGGGTGCAAAGGGCTGGAGCCCCCAGGCCACTCACCCGGCTGAGTCTCCGCGGCACTCCCGGCCGCCAGCTCAGCGGAAGGCCAGCAGGAAGATCAGCACAACGTTGATGAGGACGAGCAACAGCAGCACCACGGAGACGACCGCGCGCTGAGCGCCAGGGGGCAGGTTGCAGCGCAGCAGGGCGCGCAGGGCACTCCCGGGCATCCCAGGGCCGCACCGGGGCTGCGGGGCCCGAGCCATGGCCGGGCTGGCGGCACCGAGCCCGAGGCCCGCAGGGGAGGCACCCAGCGAGTGCGGCGCAATGCCAGGAGGGGCGGGGCGCAGGCGGCTCCTCCCGCAGGGGTCTGGCCCCAGCCCTGCCGAGCGTGCGCAGCGCCTTACGGGCCCTGCAGCCGCCAACGTAGCCAATTGCGCGGGGCGAGCAGCGAGTGCTGAGAAGTAGGTCCTGCCAGGAGGCAAGAGAACGCCCTTCCGCGGTCCTGGGGAAAGGGCCTGTTGTGCTGGCCCTTTCAGCACAATCAACGTTGTGCTGATCTTCCTGCTGGCCTTCCGCTGAGCTGGCGGCCGGGAGTGCCGCGGAGCCAGGCCGATGGGGCGCAATGATAAATAGTTTCAGGGTCACTGGGGGTGCCTTGGGGGCCTCTCCAGGCAAGGCATTCTGGGCAGAAACGAGACGCTGTGACTTTGGGAGGGGTTGTCCTGAGTTCCGATTCCTAATAGGGCTGAGCTCCAGCTGCTACTTCATAGAGGAGCGGATGCGGATCTAAAGGGTCAGCTAATTGCACAGCCATAAAAGCACCTGGAACAGTGCAGCCAGAATTTGAACCTCAGCCGGGGGGATCCGTACTGAGGGCTACTCTCTAACTGACCGAGACCATCTGAGCAATACTTTGCGCCTGTGAACCTGGCCTGGCTCCTTGTCGGCTCGGTACCAACTCCTGTGTGAATCCCCAGCGGTCTCGCTGCCTGCATAGGCAGGACCTCCTCTGCGGCTTCAGAGCTGTCTCTCCCGTCTCTCCCGACCATACAAACAGCTCAGCCATGGTCAGTCTTACTCCTGTCTTGTAGGGTAAGACTATAGTAGAGAGGACTGAACACAGCTCAGGAGCAGGTGGATTTCCAGGACAAGCTCAGACCTCTGAATCCTGGGTCAGAAAGAGCCTCGAGAAGGGTGCACGGGAAAAGTGTGCAGCAGGCAGGTGCAGACGTGGCCTGCACACGGGCTACTGCCCCCTGACTTGGGTCCATGTTTCACTGGGCACCAGAGGTTCCACAGCTACCAGCCATCTGGTAAGGAAAGAGGCAAGGCTGAGTGTCCACAGGCCCTGTGCACAGCAGCGCTGAGATCCTAATGACCAGCGTGGCACTGAGTGCTGCAGGCTCTGCAGAGCCCGGCTCACTGTTTAGCCTGGGCTGGAGAGACCTGCAGCAGTCCTCAGCTCAGGTCCCAACCCTGTGCAGCGCAGGCAGCTTGAAGAGCACTGCATGTGACAGAAGGACCTTTGGTCTGGGCAGGACTAGGGACTGCAACCTTGTGCAGGGGACCAGCCTTCATATCCTACAGAGCCCAGTATTCAGCAGGGATGTCTTGCGTTTCAAGACAAAAAAAAAACAAAACAAAACCAAGACTCAAAGCTTTCAGCAAAGGCTGAGGTCCTGGGAGGTTCAAACTTTATGGCTCCAACCAGGGAGAAGGTGGCCTCAGGGTGCTCAAGTGGGGCCTGCAGGTCTCCTTAGATAGGAGGGCATGTGTGGAAATGCAAGAGGGTCACAGGTGCTGAGCAGGTGAGGGCCAAGCTCCTGGTGCCATGGCTTTAGAGTGATAGGGAAGAGAGGAGAGCTACCTTGGAGGTGCTGGCCAGCAGGTGGCCTTACAGCCGAGAGCAGCATGGCAGCAGTCTGGGGACTCTGAGCTCCTCCTGCCCACCTGGGGAGATCTGAGCCAGGTGGTGCTCCAGCCGGGGCGGCTGAGCACAAGGTCCATGGGCCACTGACAGGCACTGGACTTCTCCCTGGGGCTGGGGTTCTGAGAGGCAGGTCAGGCCCCGGGGTGTCACAGGAGATTGCAGAAAACACACTTGGAGATAGAAAATCAGACTGGCTCCATGGAGGGGTGGCCCCCTGTTCCATGAGGTGCCAGGAGGGCAAGGGTGGCTCAGGAGGCACATCTTCTATCCTTTGGGGACCCAGTGTTGGCTCAGCGGGGGTAATCCTGCTTTCCACTGCTGTCTCTCTGTCTGCCTTCTAGTTGGGTTCCACCTGCTCTCAGCAAGGTGACCCAGAAGCTGCTATGGCCCCTGCTCACTGTCATGGAGGTCCCTAGAGGGGCCCCAGCATCAGCAGGCCCTGAGTGCCACTAGAGGAGCAGATGGAGCCAAGAGGAACCTGCAGCTGTGGCCTGGGCAGTAGGGAACGGACTGCTGTCCACAGGCATCAGGGAGGGTCACAAGGGACTCCTTTTCTCCGCTGAGAGCTGGGCCTACCTCTCCCCAACCATCACATGCACCAGCAGCACTGATGTCCCAGGGCTGTTGTAGAAAAGGCTTTCAAAGACTGACAGCCACCTCCGACTTCTAGCCTCTTCTCAGAGAAAGCCCTTGGGCTGAAAATAACCTCAGGCTTTATGACAGAAAAGACAGCCCAAAAGAAAAAGAAAAAAAAAGAAGGAATAAAAAGACAAAAAAAGAAAAAAGACAGCCCAGCCCAAGCGAGTCAGCTGGTGGGGTGGGGGGAGGGGTACAGGCCCATGCTCAAGCCATGCACATCTGGGGCAGACTCGAAGGGAAGATGCTGGAAGAAGAGAGGGGCACTTGTGGGCACCAAGGATGATCAACTTCTGCATTTGTTAGTTCACTGGGCAGGCTCTGGAGAGTTGGAGGGCCAGGCACAAGTATGCACAGGAACAGAGAAGAAGGCCCTGCGCCTGTCTCTTACACTCCTCAGGGCACACAGAGGAAGATGGTATCCCATACAGCCCTGCTCCCAGCAGGCAGGATTGTCTTGCATATCTACATCCTATGGTCTCAGACACTGCCTGGCCCCTAGTAGTACTTACTACACGTGTTACATCTATGCAACATGCCCAACCATACATCACAACCTTCACATATCCATGCACACACCCACACATGTGTGTAGAAACAAGACTCACTCCTTCAGTACTCAGAATGCAAACATCTCTCCGGGTCAAATGGTTTGGGTTTCCCATGTGTCATAATTAGAACGAGACATGCATGTCTTCCTGGAAATTACAAAGGAGTGTCTAATTTAGAGCAAGCCAGATCCTCTCAGACTGGTTGCTTCAGTAACTTCTGTGTTTGTTAATTGTTGATTGTTGCTTCTTTTGGAGCTCAGAGGCAGCAGTGAGTGTCCTCAGGGTAGAAAGCAATTGCACTAGAAAGGTCAGGGACCCTTCACTGGACAGTACTGCTGCATCTTTCTAGTTTCTGGTGTGGAGGGTGTTTATTCTGTCTAGCAGAACAGGACTGCCACCACCTTTCTGGAGTCCCCAGTAATAGCCAGGCCACCAAAACCCCTGCAATCCTGCAGCAAGAACAGTTCTTCCTGCACCGAGACACCCAAAAACTCCACTCTCACCTTTCTGCATCAGGATCTTGAGGCCCTGTGACTCTCTGGGTACACAGTTCAGTGGACATCCTGAGTCAGGACCAGTCTCTGTTCTGCACAGCTCACCATATGGCTGGAGAAGGGACCCTCAGCTGGAGCCAGTGCCTCCTCTGGGCAGGCCCCATCTGTCCGCCTGGGGCGTAGTAAGGTCCAGGGAACCCAAGTGGTCTGGAAAGCACTGTGTACGCTAAAGAGAAGTACACCCAGGAAGCTCCAATGCCAAGACCAAACAGGAAATATTCTCCAGGCAGCTAAGGAAATGCTTATGTAGACATTATTTGCATTTCCCTCTGACAGAGGCCTCTGCCGGAGTCTTGTTCTTTTAGAGCTGGCTCTTGTTCTTCCCTGGCCAATGCATCTTAGAATTAACAACTCAGCAAGAACCCTAGGGCCCCAAAAGGCACCTTTCACTGCTCAGGGGTCTGGTTAAGTCCACTGGCACTCAGGTGGCTTCCTGCTCAACACTCCACGAACCCTTGTGTGATAGCCCCAAGAGCAGCTCCACCCCGCCACAAGCCTGAATCTTCAAGGCGAAGCACAGCCATTGCCTGTGAATTCTGCCTACAGTGAAGATGTGATTTTAGAACACTCCTGAAAAGTAACTGAAGGGAGAGCTGGGGGCTGGGAGTGCAGCTCAGTGGAGCAGCATATGCTTAGTATGCTCCTGACCCTAAGTTCAGTTCCCAGCACCACATACATATACGAATACACAAAAAAGGTTTTGTTAGAAAATCTAACTTACTTGCATGTTTATTCTCTGCACTTCATGGGTTTTACAGGAAGTATTATCATTATTATTATTGTTATTGTCATGATTATTACTTTGTAGTCTAGGGATTGAATCCAGGGCCTTTGTACTGAGCTACATCCCCAGCTCTTTCTGTTTTCTTTTGAGGAAAGATCTTACTGAGTCATTAAAAGTTGGCTGGGCTGGGCTGTGCTCAAACTTGTGATCCTCCTTCCTCAGCTTCCCAGACAGGGATGACAGGTGTGCACTATACCCAGCATAAAGTATGACTTGATGACTGTTGGTTTGTGTCTGGATACTCCCTTGCCCCTGCCCCAAAGCTTCATGCAGTTTTAGATGGGTTTTTTTTGGAGGGGGCTGAATCTAGATTTTGTGATTGATTCATGGTTTAATTCAATTCATGGGATTAAGGGTGGTGGGATTAAGGATGGGCGACTGGATTGGTACCATCCTAATCCTAGCAGTCTAGATTAAGATAAAAGATGTAGGAAGAGGCTTGTCTCCTTCCTCTTCCCTTGCTGCTTTTGCTGACTTCACCACCATGAATGGTTGCTCCTTTGCCATTTGCTGCCCGCCTTGGAGCCAGCTGATATGGACTGAAACCTCCACAATTTGTGAGCTAAATAAACCTTTCCCCCTTTAACTTTGGGTGGCAGATATTTTGTCTCAGCAACAAGAAAAAAGAAATTAAGACAGTGACCATTTTAACTCATTACTTGAAGCCAGGCTTCTAAGTGAGTTTATCCCCCCCACCCCCCACCCCCGTCAGCTGTGTGGATAATGAGAGCGCTGCACTGTATCCTGGTTCCACAAAAGTCCATGAGTACACCACTCATAAAGAAGTCAAGCTGTAATGTTTCTCTTCAAGAAAAAAAATTTGAGTCCTATGCAGTCTTGGTTCTAATGGAGCAGAAAGGTACCAGCCCTCCTCGCCAGGGGAACTCAGTGTGCTATGGGCATGTGCTTGTGCTGAACATTTGGTTAAGCCCGTTATGTTCCACCATCCCCTCGAAACTAAATAAAAGAGGGTGAAAAAACAGGAGTAAGAATGAGAAAGAGAGGAGAGTTGAAGACTCGAAATTGCTGTGTCCTAAGGAAGGATGGTGAACAGGTACAGGGAGACATCTAGGTCTGGGGAATAATTTTTTTTTTCTGAAACAGGGTCTCGCTGTGTAGCTCAGGCTGTCCCTACCACATGCAGCTGGAGGAATAATTTCTAACGGTCTTTAGCACTGTTACAGTTGAAAGCAAGTAAGAATAGTTCAAAAAAGTTAGTACAAAGGATTTTGGATGTTCCCAACATGAAGAAATAATAAAATAATAAATGCTTGAGGTGGTAACCATGCCAACTACCCGGATCTTATCATCACACATATGTGTTTACCAAAATATCATGCTGGGCCCCATAAATATGTAATTCTGTATCAGTGAAAACATTTAAAAATGCTTAAAATGCCTTCTTTGGAGAATGCAAATTGGAATGGAAACCAGTATGCCCAGATGAGATCCCATACTAATCTCTCTGGCTTAGGTAGGAACAGCAAAACTCTTAACTTGGAAGTCACGTAGATGTCAGAGCAACAGCGACACTTTGGGCTCCTGGAGGCCACGGCAGAGAAACCAGTTTCCCCTGCTTTGTCCCTAGTCTGCTTCCATAGCTGTCTGAGGACACAGCTGGAGTGGTCGGGCAGTCTGTCCCTGTAGGCTGCCTTTGGGGCTGCTACAGGAAAGCCTGGTAGGAGGAACCACCAGGGGCAATTCACCTTTGTACTTGCCCTTGTGGGCGTCAGGAGGGTACCGGGAGTTGTGACTCTGGACAAACTCTGCTCTGCACACCAAGTCCTAATGTGACAGTGAAAACAGTGCTACGGCATGCATCTGGAGCAGAACTGTCTACATCTGGTTCACATCTGCAGACTGGCCCTGCTCTGTGTCTCCCACTTGACCTCCACCGTACCTCATTGATAGCCAGCTGTTCGCCACCCCCTCCAGGGTGGCTGTAGTGGTAGCCAGAGCTGTGCAGGTCCTCATACAGGTCCTCCTCACTCCCAGCCTCCTCGGGTCGGATGGCTGTGTCCAGGGCTCCATCTGGCATTGCTGGAATAAGAGAGAGCAGCTTGCAAAGAGGAGATGGCTTGAAAGGGAGAGGGGGATATGTGGGAAAAGAGCCGGATAGTTTTAGGACAAGTGTTTCTTCTGTGAGAGGATGGAGAAGGTTGGGAGCTAGTTTCTGAGACCATCCTTGTTGCAAAAATGTGGCCTGGCTGGAAATACCCACCAGCTCACTCACCACTACCAGTCCTATCACTTGGGGCGCTCAACTTGGTAGATAAGGAGACACAGGGATTGGCCATGGTGCATGGCCGAGGCTCCTCTAGCTGAACTCAGTCAGAAACCATTTACCAGCATGTCAGCTATAGAGGGCTTTTAAAAAAAGTGTTTAAATTTTGTTATGAAATATACGGTCACCCCTCTGTATCTGTGAGCTCTGCATATGAGGACTGGATCACCTCAGAATGAAAATATAAAAGAAATTGTAGCTGGGTGTGGTGGTGCATGTGGGAGGCTGAGGCAAGAGGCTTCCTGCAAGTGCAAGGCCAGCTTGGGCTACACCGTGAGCTCAAGGTCAGCCTGAACGCATAGCGAGACCCTGTCTCAAAGAGACAAAAAAAAAAAATGTGTCTGCAGTGATCATGTGGAGGCCTTTGTCTTATCATTTTCCTATAAGCAATACAGATAACCACTATTTGGATAAAATTTACATTGTACCAGGTATTATAAATAATAATATGCAGGTGCTTTAAAGAATATATGAAGGCTGGGGCTATAACTAATGCTTTCCACATGCAACATTCTACATTCACCAAAGCAAATGAACAAACAACAAATGTACAGGAGTGTGCACAGGCTCCACTCAAATTCTACACCACTTCACGTGACAAACTTGAGTACTGCTGCATTTTGGTAAACACAGGAGATCTTGGAACCCATACTTTATAGCGACCGACGGACAACTATGTGTAATTTAGTGACTTAGCAAGACTGTTTCAAAATAAAAAGAGGGCTGGAGATGCAGCTCAGTGAGAATGCCCTTGGTTCAAGCCTTAATGTGTGTGCACATGTGCACACGCACACACACACAACCGAACTGAAACATAGACAAGTGAAAAAGCATTTCATGCTCATGGGTTGACAGATAATAATTTTAAGAGGGTGATACTATCATAAATAATCTACAGATTTAATGTATTCCTATCAAAATTCCTATGGCTTCCTTTTTTTTTTTTTTTGCAGAAATAGAAGGACTCATCCTAAAATTCATACAGAATCTCAAAGTAGCCTGAATAGCCAAATTACTCAGAGAAAGGAAGAACTTAAGTTGGAGGCCCCATGTTTCCTGCTTTTAATACTACAAAATCACGATAATCACAACAGTGTAGCACTGGCATAAGGATAGACATAACAGATTAATGAAATTGAATAAAAAACCCAGAAATGAGCCTTCAAATCTATGATCAGTAGATTCTTGACATTCAGTGGGGAAAAGACAATCTTCTCAACAAATGGTGTTGGGTAACTGGATGTCCAAGTACAAAGGAATGAAGTAGGCCAGGTGCAGTGGCACATAGCTATAATCTCAACTACTTAGGAAGCTGAGGCAGGATGATTACAAGTTTGAGGCCAGCCTGGTCAACTTAGCAAGATCTTGTCTCAAAAGAAAAATTTTAAAAAGCTGTGGATGTTTATCAGTGGTAAATTCTTGACTAGAAAATATGGGCCATGGGTTCAATACCCAGTATTGCCAAACAAAAATAAAAGTTGTATGTTTATCTAACATATACAAAAATCAACTCAAATGGAAAAAAACTAAAACTGTGAAACTCTTAGAAGAAAACATAGAAAACTTCATGATATTGGATTTGAAAATGATTTCTTGGATATGACACCATAAACAAGATAACAAAAGAAAAAAGTAGATAAATTAAACTACATCAAAATTTAAAATTTTTGTGTATCCAAGGGAAGTATCAGAAGAGGGAAAGGCAACTCAAGAGATGGGAGAAAATACGCAAATCCCCAATTTGATCACTGTTCAGGCATGGCCACTAGGCCCAGTTCTTCTCTAGAGTATTTTTAAAGCAGCAATATCTTCAGACACTGTTCTAGCTTGTATTTAGATGTCCTCCCAAAGCCTCAGGGGCTCATAAGTGAGGCTTTTTGGAAATGGCTGGGTTTATTGTGTGTGAATATGGATTATGGGTGTTTAATAACTGGATTAGTCTGCTGATCAGATCAGCATAGTTCTGGGTGTGGCTGAATGGATTTACTTGAGGACTGAAGGTATCAAGGTATGGGTGGCACCAACCAATAGGCTTGTACCTGGATGGAATATAAAGGGAAAGGGAAGCTCACTGCTTCCTGCTTTCTGCCTGCCCTTCCATGGACTGTTTTCCCTTTGCAATGCCCCTCTTCTATGCCACCCTTCCTTGGAGCCAACTAACTATGGACTGAAACCTCTACAAACTATAAACTGAAAAAAACTTCTCCTTCTTTAACTTGTGGGTGTTGGGTATTTTGTCTCTGCAATGAGGAAATAGACACTTTAACAAGACACTTTACTGCTTTTTCTTAGTTTTAATTTTAGGAGCTCACAAAATGATTGCTCATCTAGCAAATCTATAGCCTAAGACAAAAATGTTTCAACATGAATCTCTTGATACTTCTATTCACCACTTATAGCCAGCTTCCAGCACAGGGTTGGGGCCCGGAAGGTATTTCCTGAGGGTTTATGATTGCATAAGCAAGGAAAGGGGCTTTGGTGGGACAGGAAGTGACTGAGGGGGAAGGACTCCAGTACTGAAGCCAAGAGATCCAGGTTCTGTGCTGCTCTGTACAAAGGGCCAGTGGCAGAGCCACTGAGACTCCCCAAACTCCTTTCATACAAAGCAATTGCACTGCAGATTCACATACAGCAACTCATATGAAGGCATTCAAGGGGGTGATCATGAGCCCCTAGTACTTGCAGGTGAATAAATAAATATAACATATCCTAGTCTGTGCAAAACAGTCTTGATTTGGAGTTTTAGTTTTTATGTAGGAAGACAAGTCAGCTGTCTCTGATATTTCTGAAATTCTGACAATGTTTAAATATCAACACAGCTAAGAATTGTGGATCCCAGGCAACAGTGCCAAAAAGATGCCTTTATTATTGATGGACAGTACCTGCTTCCCCTGATATGGGAAGGTAGGTGGTTCGGCTCATGACGGGACTGTGCCTCTAGTCTCCTCTGTTCTGCTTCTTTCCTGGGCTGACCTCCAGCAGGAAGCCAGTGGTTCTCAGTGTGCTACCCAGTCTAGCAGCACTTGGGAATGGGTGAGAGATGTGAAGCTGCAGGACACTGTCCAAGACCTTCTGCATGGGAAGATGGGGTGGCCCAGTAGGAGGCATCTGCACCATGCTCACAAGACCCTGGTGCATGCTCTGGGTTTGAGATACAGCACTGTCCCTTAACAGAGTGGCTTACCAGCTCCTGCAGTGGCGCTACGGGTTCTACAGTCTTTGAATGGCTCAGCGCCCTTGTAGACCTCTCTCTGTAGCACCTGGCCTGTGGTCTCAGAACAGAGACAGGGGCCTGGCCTGTGGGGCAGCTGGAGCGTGCAGGAGCCTCAGCTGTTCCTTGGCACCAGTGGGCCATGGGCTTCCAGCTTGCTGCATATGCCCATTCACTTCATTCTAATTTCCTTGGAACTGTTTATCTGGTGCCCATGTCTGTGGCACCAGACACCATGCTGCGTCCTGTGGAGGCAGCGTGAAGATCAGAGTCCAGCAGGAAACAGAGGGATAAGACAAATGTGGTTGAGCCATGAAGCTACAGGCACAGGGACCCTGATCTAGCCTGGGAGATTCCTGGACATGCTCTGGAGGCAGCTGAAGACTGTTCCAGAAGCAAGTGACTGGGGTTCTTGAGGACACGGAGGAACAGCAGGGTGGCTGCAGTGGCATGGGAAGCAGGAAGAGTCAAGGGCACCACAGAAGTGGTTATGGTGTGTCCTTGCCTGGGAAGGGCAGCAGGCGCAGCGGTGCTCAGCCATGTAGCGGGCTCCATCTCCAGCTACCGCCTGGGCTTCTTGGGACATGACTAAGTGAGATGACATGAAGTGCCCATTTACAGAAGAGGGAGCAGAGGCCTAGAAAGGTAATGTGCTTTACACAGGGCCCAAGGACTAGCTGGATCTGCAGGCTGTTGGGCTGGACTTCAGCAAGCAGGTCTCCTGCTAATGTGGATGCAGCAGGTGGGCAGAGGAAGGCTATACTCTGCACCAGGGGAGGAGACTGCACAGGCAGGGCCATGCGTCCGTCTGTCTTCAGGTGGAGCAGGCACAATAGCAACTGCTGACGTCCACCCTGGCATCCTTATCCACAAGACAGAGAGCTTGGGGTGAGGCCATCATGCATTGCCCTCAGTGCCAGCCCATCCTAGGCCTGCGTCACCTGCTCCTGTAGCCTGGGGCCTCTGCTCACATCATGAGATGTCTGCCTCCTAGTTGGCCTAAATCCTGTGCAGCACTCCAAGTCTAAAAACAACGTAGTGGTACTTGGTACTCATTATTAATTGGTTCTGGCAGCATGATGAGGACCAAAAAGGATAAGCACTAAACAAATTGTTATGACTGGAAAGGGCAGAGAGTCACAAAGCAATCAACACCAACAAACTCTACTTACGTATCAAGTACTAAATGATAAATGCAAGCTCTGGAACAAAATTCTCAGGTCAAAATGTCAAACACCAAATTTGATGTGTGTCACAGCAATTGAGTACCAAGGCATGACTGTATTATTAATAGGGTTTACATTTTAGAAGTTTCCAGTCACAGAACAGGTCAGAGAATACAGTTTCCACAAACCCCACCGCCAGCTTCCGTGGAGCACTCACTGTGGCAGAGCCGTGAGTCACAGCGAGTGACTCGGTCAGGTGCATGCTTACACTGAGGTCCACATTTTGTTCAGACTTCTCCATTCTTCTCTAATTTCCTTTTCTGCTCCAGGACCCCATCCAAGATCCCACAGCACATTCAGCTCAACATTTATTTTAGGT